TTTTTTTTTTTTTTTTTTGGGGGGGGGGGTTTAATTTTCCATGCATCGAGTACAGTATAATGTACAGGTACAACAGAGAATTAACTGGACCAGGGTTTATGAACCTATGGATCAGCTTGGCCTGCAACTGCGTCATCACTGGAGTCATATTCATCTTCACTTAGATCCTCATCATCACTTGATTTCTCCTCTGGAGCACCACCTATGTCTTCTGGCTTTGCATACTTCTCACAATACTCTGTAAGTTACAAAGAATAATCAGAAAAATACGTACAAACAATGAACATAAAGCAGAATGACACGCAGTGAAACAGATTTAAGTAGGGATGTTGAAAGCAGTGATCTTATGATTTGTACTTGGTCCTGCGAACTCCTATGAACAATTACTTATGAATTACAGATGAGCAAAAGGAGTTGAGTAACAGGAAGTTTGTAAGTATGACAGGTCTACTGCAGGCTATTTTTCGTCTTGAAAATTCTACTCGTGATCCTAATCCTCATATCTGATAAAATGTCGGTTCTAGAGATCTTTAATTTGCTACAACTAACATTTTCGGCCAAAACTGAAGACGAACAAAACGTGAAATTTTAAGCTCTCATATACTAATTCCAAAACCCAAAATTGTGACTTCCAAGACATCAGCTAGTTGGGCTCCAACCATCTGTGTATTCTCATCACCTGTTCATCATCATCCCGTGGCGATATTCAAACATAATAGAATTGTACTGCCAACTTTATTACACAAACCTTACATTTTGTCATGCTCTGTGTGGTTCAGACTTCAGAGAACAAATTTATCCGAAGAATTCCTAAAAATCTTGTGCTGAAAACAACTATCAACTTTGTTCCTCAGTGGCGATCAATATCTCAGAACAGATAAAATTATATTACATTTCCCAACCCCTTTACAACTGCATCCATTTTCCATTAGATGCAGTAACTGATATATCCTTAATCCTTCAAGCAACTGCAGAATGGACAGTAATATCTGATCCTCAAGGCTCAATGTAGAAGCTATCTTCCACATTATTGTTTTATAGTATCAAAAGTCTTAAATATATGTGAGGTATAGAAGTTTCAAAGCCATATACTTGATACATCTAAGATTTACTATTTATTTGCACATGACTAATTTTCTAAGGAATTCAAAGCTTCAAAGAGGATACTGCTGGTGTCATTTGACATCTGGAGTCCTTCAAAAGTTGGATTAAAAGGTGCCACAAGTCTTAGACACAGCTATTGATTTGAACTCAAGTAAACCTTAACCTCACTATTAAAGAGTGAAATTTCATAACATTTTAAACCAATTTTAATTATTCCAATAAGCCTACAGAAAAGCTTATATGTTTAAACATCACAGATTCATGACATTCAAAACTTTTTTAAAAACAGTCCAGTTATGATTTCGAAATCCTCCTCTGACTCCCGCAACTAAGGCTGTATATGTGAACAACAACAAAAGAAAGGAACTAAAAGGAAGTTACTAGCATGTCAGTGCAAGCCCTACAAGAGGCAACCAATATATACTTAATTCACAAAAGCTGCAAAAAATGACTACCTTTTACTCTTTGTTCATAAGCAGAACGATCACGCATCATTAAAGCAGCTGCCTCTCCATTCAATGGATCCGATGGGTTGGGATATAAAAGAAGTTGGGGCAGAAACACTTCAAACACATTAACCAGGTCTGGAAAAAAGGTTAAGAAATATAGAGGTAAATCCTTGTCTCCTCCAGGTAGCAGCACTAGTTATAAAGAAAACTACAAAGTAAAATTGAAAGTAAAGTATCCGGGTCTCCATATAAACCATATCATTTTACATGCACAAGAAAGCGTGTATAGGCCTACCAAACATGGGGCTCCAAGTTTGGTTGATAACATCTAAACAAACTGATCCAGACCTGGAACTCAAAAAATCACCATTAGCCAGGCTTTAGTACAAAGCCTTGCACAATATTCAAGTTCTACAAACTATTCTATAATAAAGTAAAATACAACTCAAACAAAGCCAAAGTACGGAATTTTCAGCATCTTCCAACTCACATTTCATCAACATTTGGGTGGTAAATTTTGTTGACAAAGCCAACAGATGGAGATTTGTAAGGATAAGCATCTGGTAGCTCCACCCTTATCCTCCAGACACCTCCCTGATACGGACCTGCCACATTGCATCCAAAAAAGGGGAAAAAAAGAAAAGAAAAGGCCCACCTTTCATTCAATTTCCATATTACTCGAAAGCAAAGTATGTAAAAACTTCATCCTGTTGAAGAAAACCAGAAAACAAGAAACTTGCAGCCCATTTATGCACAAGAAGTAGAGAGAAGTCTAAGTTAAAACTCTAAAATCACATCCTAATCTAAATTGGAATTCAGATATTTGAACAAGCATCAGTAGCCAGATCAGTTCATTCAGAAAAATTAAGTAAATTCCCACAACTAAATCAATCCCGAACTTTTTATCCCCAAAAAAAAATATCAAACCAAAACCATGGTTAAATGAAATAGTTCAGACTTCAGAGAGGAGACTACATATGTGGTCAGTAGCTGGTAACTATAATTCTATCTAAAACAATATAAATCTGAAACCCAAAACAACTTTCACATGATCAACATAAACGAACACAGCTTTAAGACATAACATGGATAGAACCCACCAGAGATGACATCAAAATTAGCTCAAATTCAACCAAGGAGACACATAAAAACAATAAACCAAAAAGGGGGAATATCATATATGGGTTCGGATGATTTACTCTCTTTGGGTCCATTGAAATCCACATAAAACTCTTGCATGCCGTCATTGATCATCTCCACCTTGTAATCACTCATCATCCTAGTTCATACCAACCAAAACCAAAGACAAGAAAACCAAAAATTTAATTACAAGAAGTAAAAAACTAAAACTAAACAACAACAAAATGCATATTTGAGAAAATATACAGTTTCATCAAATCCATCTCACGGCGTTTGCTTGGCGAAGACATTTTTTGGGTATGGGAAAAATGGGTGAGAGAGGCTGAGAGAGATGTTCTGAGTTTCTTCACAGACAAATTCAGACAGAGTGAGAGAAATAGTGAAGTATATATGTGCTCAGAAAAGTCGGCAACTCTGCAGTAATAATGGTCCAGTAAATTTCTGCAGTCATTGTTAGATTTCCAAAGGTAGAACCTACATTAATGTAACGGGATACCATTGTTATGGTATTCTAAGTCCATCTTTTATATATTCAGACAAAAAAAAAACAAAAAAGTCCATCATTTATATGATTGACTTGAAATATCGTCACCTTACATGCAAGGTTTTTTTACCACGATAGATTTTGTGAATTGTTAAGTAAAAAGGGGGAGAGAGGGACAGAGAGAGAATTTCTTAGTTATATGGTAATTTCCTCTTTTGATAAAGTAGTTAAATGGTATGTACAACCTTCTTTTTTTTGGGTCAAATGGTACATACAACTTTTGTTGTTGCTAAATATGGTAAATTTCCACCCACTATTTATGTTTTTCCAAATTCCAAAAAATATTAATTTATTTTTCCCACCTACCCACTATTATTCCAATAATACCCCTTTTAACTCCCTAATCTTAATCTTTTTTTTTTTTTTTTCCGGAACCTAATCTTAATCATTGGGTAGAGCCGACTAAGACCTGCCAATGATAACTTCCTTGTAATAGTGTTCTGCTTTCAGCATTTTACCCATTTTTTCTGACCAACTTGAGGCATAAAGAAGCCAATTTCCATAGTTTTCTATTCCATCAACTTTAAAAACTTTATCTTTAACAAAAATAAATTATTTAATGTTTTCTTATACTAATTTTGATGTAGTTGATATATTGATGATTAATTTTATGTTCAAATGGTTAGAATTGGAACACAATATTATTTCTGAAGTATAATTTTTATATGAATTATAATTATTTTGTGAGAAAGAAAATGGTACGGAAAATTGTAACGAATTGTGCTATTGGATGAGTTTAATTATCTCTAATTTTATCGTAAATTACACATTTTCTGACTTCACTATTGATCTTAAGTTTTACTAATTAAAATGGTGACTATTTCTAATTGAATTGGTATAAATAAAGTTTTATTGAACTAATACATTATCGGCCTCGTTATGTCATCTAAACGTTAGCACAATTGGTGTTAAATTTCTATACTTCTTATGGGAAGATGATTTAGGATGTGGTCTTCATCCATTGTGGTGGCTTAGGAAGGCCAATGGCCAAGGCAACCACAATTGCTTTTTGACTTTTACTTAGTTTTCCTTCCAAGTAATTTTACATAAGAATAGACTTATCATTTTTAAAATAAAGTTATTTACACTAATATCCCTTGAAGTTTTGAAAATTACACAAACACTCCATAAGGTTTCAAATTGTTTTTACGAAACTCATTTTTATTGATTGTTCGTCCAAAAAGTGAAGAAAAGTTATACTAATGACTTAACCTTAATGAATGTATGTGCAATCTCAAAGACTAACTTTGTCATTTGGAGATTTAATATATATATATATATAAAATCATCAATCTTTGGATGAAAAATCAATGCAAAAGGATTTCATGAAAACTATTTAATCATCGAGTGTTCGTGTAATTTATGATACTTCAGGGGATTTTGTGAAAAGATCGAAAATCTTAGGGAATGTTAGTACAAATAACTCTTAAAAAATATATTGAATAGTGTTGGAAAAATAAGAATGGGTTGAAAATAATGCTACACATTGAATTTGGTCACCATAATACCATATTGTCCTTGTGTCATATTAATTTATCTTTCCATATTCATTGTACCCTTCCTTAGACTTCTTTTTTTCCTTTTAATTCTTTTAGTTCATTATTCATATCCTTATAGTTATAGACTGTGTCACTAATTAGAAAAACAAAATCCATTTAGATTGTGTGTGTCACCTAATAATGGTATGAATTTTGGTAGTTATTGCAAAAAGTGGCGGATCTAGGAATTTTTCAGAGGAGGTGCAATTTTTAAAAGACTAAAAATTCACAAAGAACTCAAGCAAGGTCCAAGGTTCAAGTCTAATATCCTTGTAGTGTGTCAAAAAAAGGGTAAAAATTCAAAAATTAATTTAGACAACCAAATGCCCTTAGAATTTAAACAATACTAATGTCATTCATAATTCAAACAAATAAGAGTTCTACGTGTATTACTAATTGATTATAGTCTGTATGGAATATCAATTAATATGAACAAAATCCATGCCAGTGACACAATTAGTTTACCAGAATTCATATCAAATATGAATAAAATCCATGTCAATTACATAATTAATCTAACAAAAATCTATACCAATTAATCTAACCAAAAGCACATGTGATTTGGAGGTCATGTGATTAAAAGTTTGGGGTAATTTTCAATGAATTTTTTGGCACATATATGAGTTTTTAATGAATTTTTTAAGTTAGGCCAATTAGAAATGGATATGTTTCAGCTTGCTATTGGACCATTTAGAAAAGAATCAAAAGTGAGAAGCGCACAGAGTCAGTCTTCTTCCTCGAAGAGCCTCTGCAACTCAACTTTAGTTATAGAAATTTTTTGAAAATTCATAACTTTGGTTGTGAAGCTCCGATTGATGAACCGTTTTCTCCTACATGCTCGTGAGATCGAGATCAACAATTAAGTAAATATTCAGGGTCTCACACAGTAGCAAACAAAATAACATCTTTGAGGCATTTAGTCGAACAATTTGTGGTAGGGCTGGGCTCAGTTTGGGTTGGTTCGGTTTTGGGCTCAACCCGACACCGAACCGTAGGCTTCAGTTTGGCTATTTTGAAAATCGAAACCAAACCATACTTGATGAAAACCGACCACTTCGGTTAACCGGACTTGGTGGTTTGGTTTGATTCGATTTTGATTTTTTGGCTTTCTGAGAGAGAGAGAGAGAGAGAGAGAGAGAGAGAGAAGAAATAAAAGCGATGAAGAGGAGGAGAAGAAAAAAAAAGATGTAGAGATGGAGAAGAAGAGGGAGACGGAGTGAAGACAATCGTAAGAAGAAGGAGAAAAAAAATAAAGAGAGACAAATGGAGAGATTGAGAGAGAAGAAAAAGAAAAGATTGAAACTATGTATTATATATATATTTCTTATAATAAGATTATATATAATATTTTTTAATATCTTTAGTTTGGTTTGGTTAAACCGTGATTTTGAATATTACAAACCGTACACCGAACCATATATTTCGGTTTGGTTTGGGTTCAAACCGATGACAAAAAAAAATTGAAAAAAAAACCAAACCAACCCAATCCATCGGTTTGGTTTGGGCGGGTTGGTCGGGTTTCGAGTCCAAATGCCCAGCCCTAATTTGTGGGCACTAGCAAAGGGGCAAATTCTAACATCCCCAAGGAAGTTTCCGGCAAGGGGAGGTGCAGCTACACCTCCTTGAGCCTCTGTGGATCCGCCAGTGATTGCAAACATGCATAATTGCATATGCAAAATTTAATGAGGGTTTATGGTTTTCAAGTTCTCATGACGTGTTTAGTGTTCACAACTTAATCATTTTTTAAAATGATTGAATTTTTGGAAATTACTTGTATGATTGTGATAAACTTTTTATGTGAGATTGTCATGCCTACGGATGGACGACTAGGTTAAATATTTTATAAACTTATAAAGAGCATCTCAACCCGAAAATGCTAAATATTATATTATTTTATTATATTTTTAAAAGTAAATGGAGCCCATATGATAAATAAAATTTTAAAAGAGAGTAAATATTAACGGGGTCCATGACTAAAAGAATACTACAATAATATTTGACATCAAGTTTTTTGGTATGTTATTTTTGACATATGTCTTCCAGCCTTCAAATCTATGTAGGATTTGACTACTCAGTTGGAGTAATTTTAACTTTCAACTTTTGTCATTTCATGTTCATATGGCAATTTGACATATCAATTGGAGATGCTCCAATATAACATTAATAAATAAACAAATATTTTAACGTTAGTGCCGACATTTTCATTGAAAAAAATAACCAATGCGATTATTGGAGGGCAACGATGCAAGCATTGGGTCATGATATTTAATTTAATTTTTCTAAGAAAAGTAGATAAATAATGTCGTATTAATGACGAGCAAAACATTAAAATTTATGCAAAATAAATACATGAAAATTGTAATGAAGTGGTGATCCCATTAGCATTCCTTCCATGATCTTGTCGTATGCAGCTTATTTTTGCACCACACGCGTCAAGCACTAAACTCATTAAGGACTTTACACGGCGGTGCGTTTTACTGTCTACATAAAATTTTATGAACGCATCGAATCAAGTTCAACAATCATGATGCTTACGTGCATTTCTTTATGCACAAAAAATATGCATATAATTCATGCAAAAATCACTATAAAATTACACTTACAATATATGATATCTGCATCATCTATGAATCTATGGTTATGGAAGTTCTGTATTAATATCGTATTTCTGTATATTTTTCCGTATATTTCTGTATATTCAATCCAATTTTATGACTTTCTCATTAAATCATCTTGGGGTGTTTTGTAAATGTTATGGTAAATATCTTGATGTGTATGTTAAAGAAGTTAAAGTATTTTTATTTTTATTTTTTGGAAGTGAAAAGTTAAAGATTATTCTATAATACTTTTATGTTACCCTAGTTCTTATATTTATATTTGTAATCAGGATTGTTCTTGTTGAATTCATGTGAGCGAGAAAGAAAGAAGTATTTGGCGGAAGTTTTTAAAAAAAATTTCGGTTAAAATATAATTTAAAGGTTAAATATGTCTATTCAAGAGAATGTGAGAGGTCAATCAATTGACAATAGATAAAGTGGGTAATCGGCTTCTCACATCATAGAAAACAAAATTCCGCTCCTAAAGTTTAATACAATAATGGGGTTGACCTAATGGTAAGGGCGGCCTTGGATCTATATACACACATACTTAATAATAATATGATTGCATAGTTTATCACGTCATTTTAACGAATAAATCACAAAATATTTGTGTTTGATACACATTTTGTGGCATGTTTAAATGTGGTTGGCTAGCTTAGCAAATGGCAAGCC